CATGGGGGAGGGAGCTGTGCCAGTTCATGTTGCTGAATATAAATGTGCATTTTCCTATAAGTGTTCTTGCATGGTCAGGAAAATTTTCTCATATACAGAATATCTATGAAGTGTCTTGACCAAATGCATGCATTCAGCAAAAATGCTTCTGTAGCTTCTGTAAATAACACTGGTCCACAAATGTCTCACTGGCTCACAAACGCCTAAGCACCACTTGTGTACCAAAGTGATAGATGCCTTAAATGCTTAAGCTGGATAGAAATTCCACAGGCTAGATTGCTGCCTCCCATATGCAGATTTGATAAGCTTTTTAGCACCCCTTTCCACAGTGCTCAGTAGTAACTAGATGGATGCTGTTTACGTGTATGTATGTTTTGGTGGGTTGGAGCATCGGGACAGTCTGTATTGGTAAAACACTGCTTAAGGGCTTTATTTAGTAGCACTTTTTGGAGACTGGAACATCAGCATCAAACCTCCGTCTGTGAATACCTGTGTGTGGTTATCATCTAGCCAGAAATAGGTGCTCTGATTCAGTGTACAACAGCAGCTTGGTTGACAGCATTCATATCTTAATTAAAGGAGCCAAGTTCAATTCCTACTCCCAGCACACTTGTTGAAATACCATTAATGGTGTTACAGTGGCAGCCGTGAAATATTGAGTAGGTTTCCTGTACTCTCTTCATTTTTTTTTTTTTTTTTTTTTTTTTACTGTGTTTATATTTGTCCAGGGCAATTCATGAAATGAATGATCATGATGGTGTGGGTGGCTTGAGGTTTTGATTGGTTGATCAGGTTGGCTTGGTGCTTTTAAATAAATACACAAACTCTGCTCAGGACTTCTTAGTAGAGGGCATGTTTAACAAACTACACTTGATGGATAATACGATAACATGTCATGTCTCACTAGTATACTAATAATATCTTCTGCCTTACAGTGTAGATATTTTTGGATGTGAGGTGTGAAAGGTCTTGTAACTGAAGTCTAATCTTTTCTACAGAGAATTATGTCCTTACTGTCAGTCTCATTTAAACATATACATTTTAGTCATCTTCCTTAAATTGGGAACCACAGATTTGTTGCACTCCCATGGTGTACTGTCCTCATTCCACCTGCTGCACTGATAATCATCTAAAGACAATATAAATAGTCTCAATAACTTGACAGGCTGATAGCCTGACAAAGTTGTGCAGTTTATAATTTCAACAATAAGAGACAGGTGTAAGTGAAGCATTGGGGGCAGGGGGACCCAACCCTGCCAAGTCACAACAATTTTAACATTGTACCATTTAGCATTGTACAACTGGACATAAAACATTAAATGAATAATATTCAACATGCAGATTTTACACCTGTGCTTGCAATTTTCCTTGCTGAGTTTGTATTATTTGAAATTATCTTCAGTGGATATGGCCTAGTATAAATAGGTAACAACCCCACTTCTAAATGCTCATTTAGATCAGAATCCTCTGGTTTCTTTAATCTGTTTAGGTTGTAATTTTCTGATAACACTTTAAGCTTTCTGTTTCTGTATTCCTTCATCTGGAATTCCTTTCAATATTTATAATACTTAGTTCTATTAAATGTTCAGTGTGTTCTTCCAAGACCTGTTTAACCACACTGGAAGTGTTCTTCTAGAAACAGTTCTTTTGAAAGGAATAAAAGAACTACTTAGACTGAGTAAAGGCTACCAAAATGGACCAAATAAGACAAGGCAAAAATAGATCATTAACATCCAGGTTAGTCTGGAGTGGAGACTAGAGTTATATCTGCATGACATTGGTATGTTTATTGTAATAAAATGATGATATGAAAGAGTCTTGCAAAACTGTTATCAAGATGAGCTTCTGTTTCCACTGGAGATTTTGTTCATGGGTCTTCTGAGAAATCCCTTTTTAAGTCTATGGAGATACCTTTTAATTAGCTACACAAATTTAAAGATGATATCTAAAATTATTTGACTAATTGTCAAATCTTTTTACTTTTTTTGAAAAGCACTGTAAAAAGCAAAATATGAAAAAGGTAATCATCTACAATTACTTGCAGCCACATATGAAAATAAGTGAGCTGGGATCCATGCAAAGAATCCTGTACACTTCAGTTTGTTCTCTAAAACATATGTGAAGCTCTTAACATTGCTAATGCTTTAAAATCAAGCTGAAATCCTTACCAAAAATTCAAGAAAGATTTGGCTACAGATTGCTTCTAAAATTGGCTAAGACTTCAGAGTAATACTGATTTCTTTCTACATTGTAATCTAAAAGAGTCTTCACTTCATGAGCCAGTCATGCATGCCAGAGTGCACAAAAATAGAAATTAATAGTATCTGCTAAGTATCCTGCATTCTGATGGCAACATGGAAGAGGTTGATGACTTTGAAACTAAGTGACTTAACAACCAGTAACTTGATTCATCCTGATGCTGGTTGAATTCTGAACAATTCTTTGCTGGCTAACTCACCTCTTTCTTCAAGTCATTCTTGATAAATTCCATGAAAAATTCTTACTTACCCGTCTGTGTAAAGCCTTATGAAAATAAAATTCAATTAACTTTGTGGAGAATCTGTTATAAACATACAAAATCAAAAGAACCAAAAACTTAATCTAAGGACTGCATCTGATTCTCCATCCTTAACATGCTGTGATGTGTCTAGAGATTACAGCACATATGGTCTGTAAAATCACCCACCATTTCAGTGTCTGAAATATCTAGTGGTACACGTAGCATCATACGTTACAAATGAGGTAGAAGAATGGATGTTAGTGTTAAAACTACAGAAATACAGAATTATACAGTTCAGACTCAATGTATATTCCTTTGTTCCGACACTGCACCCTTTGTTCCTCTGTTGGGTTGAACTGACAGGGTTCTCCAGGCAGTGGGTGCCTCACACACCAGATACGCTGCACCACTGGGGCAGAGTCAAGGACAACGTATGTGTTGGAGGAAGGCTTCAGCATGCAGATTCTGAAATGAGTCATACCAATGGCACTAACTCTCTCAATTTCTTGCTATTCTTAAAAGCCTCTGTAATCTTTACCTTGAAGATTGCTTTAGGTAGTTATCTGCGTGAATAGTTTTGCAATACTTTCATGAAATATGATATGCTATTATAACAGTTTAAAACAGTCATCAATATTTCAAGTAGAGAAATGTAAGGAGCTTCTCAAAATAGGTACTATTTACTGTACCTACTCAAACAGATGCCCTTCAATGGGAATTACAGAAGCACAGCAATATAAAAACCACTATCCTGATAATAATACAGATCACAATCACACTGATGTAGATCTAAGGATACCTCCACAGTCTTGTTTCATGCTCTGCATATTTGACAAAATAGAAGACATTTAATTCCTGATTAAAGGGAGCTGAAAGAGCCAGATACTGTCTCTCACCAGTTCAGCAATACTACTGAAATTGTCTTTACCAACTTTAACAACTTCTCAGTCATTCTTTAATATAAGTGGGAAAGGAATCCTGTTATTGATTGAGCTTCTTCTTTTTATCCAGCCTACTTTAAGCTTGAAATAGATCTCTCTCGTTGTAGAAATAATAATGCAGCTTGCTCATAGTGGAGAAGGGGGTCCTAGGTGCTGTAAGTTTTTGTATCTCACAAAATAAGTCAAATTTCTTTGGATAAGCAATGGCATGAATGCCAGCTTCCACACAGTGACAACTAGCGCTGCAAAAATTGATGTGCCACCTTAATGCTACAGGATTGATTGAACATTTCCCTGATGTTATTTTTTTTTTTTGCTGTTGTCTTTCCTCAAGAGAACAGTGCTCCCAGCATGACCCCTTTTTCTTTACACATCAAGTGAAGGAAAATCACCCTTTGCTGTACTTGTGGGGACAGATATTGATCTTGGACACATTGATGCAAACCAAAAGTAACTCCTTGGGAGCTGAAGGAATTGCTCCAAACATTGGCCTGTGAAACGGGGGTCAGACTCCAGCCACTGGCCTCCAAGCTTTATTTCTTGCCTAATGAGAAGCAGTATATCTAATGCACCAGTCCTACAAAGAGTGCTGAGCCATTTGGCAGGAGTGAAAATTTATTGTTCTTTATTATTGATGCTTATAATGCAAAACATTGATGTATGTCACAGTCTCAATACATTTTCTTAATAGTCATATCTATGCCAAAGGTACTGATATTTCTGCAACACGTTATTAGCAGAAATACCAACATTTAATTTTCCTAAAAGCTTTTTTGTTTGGTTGGGTTTTTTTGGAAATCACATAAAGCCTCATCACATAACACAGCTACCACTTACTGTGCAACAGGTGTTTTATGCTCAGTTTGTGTCACTTCAATTCTTTTTAGAAAGTGCCGGATATGGACATAGCTAAACTCAGGACAAATCCCTTCAGCCCTGTCTGTAAATCTTTGTTTGGGTCATATATCCAATGTGAAAAGGTAGATTAAACTTGATCTGAGATAAACATCAAACATTTGTTCATTTTAAAAAAAATAAAAATTAGGGAGATAGAGGAGAGACTTAAGAAAATCTTATCAGTTAATATTATTATCTACAGACAGATAATGTACAAAATATTAAAGGCTATTTTCTCTAGAAATCAAATAAAAATATGCAGGTTCTCATAGCAGTTGGTGGTGGCTGCCATATTTATGAAAAAATAGAAAGTGCAGCTCTTCCTTAGTGAAATGCCAAAGAAGCTAAGTGCCACTGCACTGATTCAGACTGTGAATACACTTTCTGAAAAAGGGTTGAAAAGAATTGTAAAATTTGTAACCAGACTTATATAGAACCTTTAAAAATGTGAAGCATTGTGCTGACGTCTGCGGTCTGGGTAGGCTTTTTATTCCCACGAATGGTTCATACCTATAGGAAGACTTTTCTCTACAGAAAAACTAAAGAAATGCAATCACTACTACCATCAATTGCCATTAATCCTTTGTAGATAGTCAAGACACTTATAACAGAATCACACAGTCCAAAGAAAAATAAATATTTATTATTACTTAGATCTGTTTTCTGCAGATTCTTGGAGGTTTCATTGGAGATTTAATATTCATAGGAAGCTTTGGAGGAATGCTTCTGTGGGAGAGAAGTGGGTTCCATTACTATAATGAAGACAAAATAGTACTTCTGGTTAATGTGAGGCTTTTTAATTTTTTTTTTTTCTTTCAAATCTAACTCCTTTTGATTTTAAATGATCTTGTTGATAAGCAGTTTTTACAGCTTATCAATTGTGGTACACCATTGATCAACTAAGTTAGATGGTACTTTTCTTTCTTCCTGACTAGGAGAGTTATTGTATTTTTTAACAGAAAAATGATGACTGTGGATGGGTGAAAATGAGGAATAAATGGTGATCAGGCAGTGTCCATGGTCATAAAAAAATTAATATGTGGTTTTGTGGCCAAGGGAGAGCATTCACAGAGCTAACAGCTATTCCAGACAAGAGTCATACAAATACAATGTTATTTGTGAATATAAATTTAGAGGGACAGAAGGCTGTACAAAGAGAAAAACCATTCACAGTTCAAACATTTTTTCTCAAACACTGTTAGTACAACATTTAACCATCTCTGAACATGAAAAGTAATTCAGTGCTGATGCTTTGCCTCTCAGAGGATGGAAAATATTTTTGCTGTCATTTGCCTGAGATGGTACGATTTCCTGGTGCTTTAAAGTAAATAATTTATTGTAGCTTGGGGCTTTCACTCTAAGACTTTTCATATATGATACACTACTTACTTTAGTATTCCTGTTTATATATTTACGTTGCTCTCATCTCAGTGGTACTCAGGCTCCTACGTACCGACACGTCTTCCACTCCCTGCAGAGGAAGAGTATAAGTCATTAATGCTTCCGTATCCCTGATGATTTTATTAAATGAAGTTTAATTACTTCCATTGCTTTTGTATAACATAATCTAGTGCTCATTTACTCTATTATTAACATTCAGAGGAATTAAAATAGGGTGCATTTGCATCAGTATACATTGAACATGATGTAAGGCCAGGCATAATTAATTTATTTCTCTTAAAGCTATGGAGATTGTTAACATTAAAAAAAAAAAAAAAAAAAAAAGTCAATATGTAGGACTTGATTTTTATTTGCGTTAAGGCTACTTTCTATTACTCTGGAGTTGTAAATCAACATTTTGGTTAAAAGTGTTCCTATTTTTACTATTGAGCACTGTTTACTAGAGTGCTGTCAAATGGTAAAATGTAATAGTGTAGCTCCTTCTTTTTGCTGCAGTGAAAAAGACATGATATTGCATATTCAAAGTTAACTGACTGAACTGCAGATCTAGTTCCTACTGTGAATGGTATAATTTTCATCAGGTTCAAGGAGAGGTGGTATGAGTCCCTCAGTCAGTGATTGCTAACCTTCTGGAGAAGATAAGTAACTCTGCACAAATACCTGGTCAGGTTCAGTCCTCTCCCCAGCCCTGCACCATGGCTTTTACCCCATCTGCAGCTCCCATCTTTGCTGGCCCCAAGTCTGTCATCTCCTAGCTCTGGATGGGAACTCCACACCTCTCCTGTGATGTGATCACACCTTGCTTGTTGGGAACTACTGCCCCCAAATGCCATCATCTTCAGAACTGCCTGGTTTAGGGATTTTTAAGTTCCGTTTTGCTGCTCCCAGTCTGACAGAAAGCCAGCGACCTATTTTTTCACAGAAAACACTGAAAAAACAGTTCTTCTAAAACATAAGTTTCTTTAAAAGCTTGCTAAAATGGGAACCCTGAAACTGAGGACTACCCAAATTCTCAAGCACTTTTTAAAAATATATTACTTTCATAAGAGGGTTGCGAACAGAAATTAGACTGAATCTTTTAAGTGAACCATCTGCTTTTGAAATGTATTTCTCCAGTAGCCTTCCCTGACCCTTTGCAAAGGATCATCTGCATGTGTTTGCTCAAGAATTTTTTGATAGTGAAATGTTGTTGCCTTTCTTATTTAATTCTTTACTGTTTCCACATGGTAGGATGTTAAGAGATTGCTTTTTCTTTCCCTTGTCAATAAGTGACCTGCCTTAACCAGGCACTCAGAAATGAATCATAACACTTGTCAGCATGTACACCAACGATTGCTAAGGGCTAACCACTCCGAGGCCATCTGTAGCAGCACTTGCTGTTCATTTCACAGTACAAGGGTTAGTGCGGTTATGTCTTTGGCAGTGAATGTTATTCATGAAAAGTCAGAGATGAGGGAAGTGAAAGATAAATAGTCCAGCAGCTGTATCCATTTTGTTATTGCTTCCTGGTCATGAAATCAGTGCAGAAAAGGGTTATAGCAGCTGAGATGAAGGTGGTCCTCTGAGTGTGGGGGTAAGGAATTGGGTAAATACTTGAAAAGAGGCTTTAGTAAGTGCTTGGGGAGTATTCTGTTAGTTCCTGGAAAAAATCAAAAGCAAAGACTGGGTAAAGGTAGTGACAAGAATTCAGGAACTTCACCATTAAGGTTAAACCATTGGTGTGGACTTTGTTCCTAAAGAATTAAAATCCCAGAGCTGTAGCTATCATACATCTGTCTCAAAGAGAAGTTCTTCTCTAGTAAACCTAGTTTTCAAGCCCAAAGGCAATAGGGGAGCAAGTGGTCTCTTTCCATTCATGCTAAGGAATTCCAAGGAGGAGAGGAGTAAAGAAAGAGGATACAGGGAAAACTTAGCCTGCACCAGCAAAAACACTCCTCAGGTTCCTATTGAAGGTCTAGTAAGCAAGGTACAAGACAGCCACTAAGATCTCTGTTGAAGAGGTACAGATTTACTGTGTTTGAGTACTGTGCTTAAATTCTTAATTCCCAATCTCAGTTAACTCTGGAGTTACAATGGAATTCCCAGTTTATACATTAAATTCAGATTTTGGAAAAAGAAATCATCATCATGCTTTAAACGTTTTGTTTACTGTACTAGAAATGCGGAGTTCAGTCTACTTTCTCTTTGATTTTAGATCGTGATATAATCATAGGATATTTGATGGAAAGAAAAGGGAAAAAAAATTCAGGGACCTTCTTGAAATGTGATCAAATCAGGTCTATTTTGTTAACAAAATTTAATCCATGTGCCTCTTAAACATCCTTCAGAAGTGGATTAGAGCAATGAAATAAGTAATACTGTACTGTGAGACTTATTATGAGGGCTTTTGTAATGGACTGTTTTTGAAGATATGGATAACTGAGCAAAATGGAAGGTTTCACTTGAGAGAATCATTAGTCTTGTTGTTTCAGTCTAAGAAATATATTTTAAATTACACAAATTTAGTTACCCTCAAAAGTAACTTGGAAGCCAAGATAAACAGTCTAAGAAATTGTTCTTCAGAACAACTAGTAATAAACTATATCAGTACTACTCCTTTTCTTCATGCTCAAAAACTTTACTATCTTTTTCAGGCCAATAAGGAGTATGCACAGTGTTAAAAATAGATTAATGTTGGTTTAATAAAGCATTAGTAGGGAAATAGGTTGATGTTACTGATGGTAAATTGTGATTTGAGGGAATTCAAGACTGAAACAGAAATTAATTGTACCTCACCATTTGTTCAACTGACTTGGTAGTACCCACATACCGTAAAACATATAGATATAGAGTATCCTTAAAGGAAACCTATTTAGAATTAATGGAATACAGTGGGTCTAGAGCTTGAGTCAAAGGCCATTGAAATTTAAGAAAATACTATGGGAGTTGTTAATCCTTAGGTCATCTTTTCTCTCTCTGACATACTTATGTATGATTGTGAGCATGTGTTTGAAAAGATGATATGCATTGGTAACTTAGCCCTCAAATCTGATGTGGGCAGTTGCAGGGAAAAAAAATAACATCATCACAAAAGAAAATTAGAAATGTTTTTATATTTTCATCACCTGTCTTTTTTAATCAAATGTTATTCAGGGTATGCAGTTCTTGAAAACAAATTAATATTTATTGGAAAAATATGATAGAAAGATGTTAAATAAGACTATGGGATCATAAGAAAAATCTAAAGCAAGAGAAAGTCATAAACACCTCTAGAAAATTTTATCAGTATAAATTATGATGCTTGGATGTGTTCTGTACAATTTAAAAAAAAACAAACAAACAAACAATATTTTTATCATGAATCATATTTTCTTAATTACTTAAGTTTCATGTTCAAATTCCAGGATACTGTGTAAATTGGGGGGAAAAATATTTCTGTAATTTCTGCTCTGTACAAAGCTTTCCCTGAGAGACTATAAAGTTATATGAACCATCCTGTCTACATTTTTTTTCTTGCTGAAAATCATCACTGGCTTTCAGCATATCAGAAGGTTTCTTGCAGGCAAAACAGTAGTGTCTTTCTGTACAACTTTGATAGGCCACAGAATTTTCAATTTCTTGGTTCAAATAAGCATCACTATTGCAATCTTAACTCTTTTTTCATAATAAATTTAATATTCCTAAAAATAAGGAAGCCATATCTCCAGTTTTTAGTTATGAAATTATACCACCATACAGTGTAGCAGAATAATCTAGATAATCATCTTTTATGTTAAAAATTCCATCCACGCTCAAGACATTAATCTGTTTTTCATATGCAACATTTCACAACAAATCAAGCAAGCCTTGAGAAGCACCTAAATGAAATGGATGGGCAGTTACAGTCCTTAGCCTCCATAGAATTTCCAACAATTAGTGATTGATTAAAACAGTTTGTAAGTACCTTATACAAAGCAATTACACTGTCCCCTGAATATCCTTGTCCTGAAGCAGTACATTAGAATGGACCATATTTCTCATCTAGTATGGTAATTTTTGTCTGTACTAACAGAACAAAACAGCATGAGCTAACTCCAGTAGGTACTTCTCCAGTATCTAACTGCAGAAGTACGAAGGAAGTGGCAACAGTTTGCAACTACGAGAGATTTGATCCTGTATTAAATGTTAATCTTCTGTGTTTACCCTACTTCCATTTAAAAATCTGAGCTTCTAAAAAGAATGTGTTTTCTAGGAATGCAAGAGCCTGAGCAATATTCCTCTGTTGTTATATAAAATTATTGCTATTCACACTGATACAGAAACTGTCAGCTAATACAAGAGTAGATGTATTTTTTACTGTGTGGGAGTAATACCAGGGATTTCCACTACAAAACACAGGCAAAAAAAACAATCTTGTTTTAGAAATAACAATGAGGTCATGATCTTTTGCTTTTCTCTTAAAAGAAGGCACATTACAATTATTGATGTTGGGGCTGGTAAATCATGGCAACAGACACATGAAATTTAGTGCTTTGTAATGTAGCAAGAGGAAATTGTTGCTAGGGACTACTTTTAGGCGTTTCTAACACCAAGTAATTATTAGTTCATGCCTTGTATATTGTGTGTCAGGAAGGGGAAGCATTACCTCATCACTTCAGAGTGCTATGTCAGGATCCACCCCTATAAGGGTAGGAACTATCCCTATTAGTGACAAGCAGTGGTCCCAGAAATGTCATAGAGAGGAGGAACTACATGCATATCTGTCTGGGCGGTCCTAATGGAATATGAGTTGCCATATAGATAACTGCACAAAGGAAGATTTTACTCAGGCCTTAGCTAAACGGAAAGGGTCCCCACTGTATGAACTTTTAGGTTCTTTAGCTGAACATCTTCACTTTCTGCCTTCCTGCTTTGTAATGCCTTCAAAATTCAGTGTGATACCCTCAAAAACACAAGCAGAATGCAAAGTCAATGCATGGCTAGATGCACCCCTTGCAGGAGGTGTAATACAGACCCTTAGGCTTCTCTGTCGCAACTTGATACTGTCACAGCCTTTTCTGAAAGGTCTGATAGTCTTTTCATTCAGTAACCAAGAAGGACAATACAGAATCT